CACGGAGAGTGATCTGAGGAATTATTCGGATTAATTTCAGCCGCCAAATTTCACGAACGCCCATCGCGTCAAAATTCACGATACCATCCTCACCATCTGGGTGCTTGGCGGTCCACGACTGTGCGTTTTACTAGAAGTTTTCTTCCTCATACAACTTCTCTGTGGAATTGTTTACCACCGGCGATTTTTCCGGACTGATACGACTTAGGGACCTTCAAGAAAAGAGCTTATACCTTTTTAAAAAGCCGGCAACGTATCTGCAATTCCCCTGGTGTTGCGGTTGTTCATGGGCGACGGTAGGCACTTACCATCAGGTGAGCCGCATGCTCGTTTGCCCCCTCTTCTATAAAAAAACATTACTCTTGTCATCAAATAGTGTAAAAAACTAAAACGGGACAATTGACTTTCAAATTGAATTGAAACCTCATAAATTATAATATTTGAGTAAAACGACTCCATGCCATAAGATCTGGAAACAAACAGTGAATCTTCAGAGAGCAGTGAAGAAGAGGAGGAAAGTTAATAAAATGTTAAATCTTTTTAATTTCCTTTAATATTATAATTTAAACAAAATTATTACATAAATCTACAAAAATTGGAAATAAAAAGAATTATTGAATGATTTAATCCGTCAACCTAAAAATTATAGTTCCTGTCAAGGTAAAAGTATAATTATTGACCGTGGCCTAGTTTCGGATTATTTCAGTTTAATAGTAATTAATAAGAAATAATTGCCTTGAATCCTACTAATATTACAAACGTGAAAGTGTGTGATGATGTATGGATGTATGGATGTTTGTTATCTTCCACGCAAAAACTACCGAATGTATTTTAAAGAAACTTAACAATAATATAGCTCATACATAACTACATTTAGGTAGTTCAAAAGTCATCTATATCTGTACCACATCACTGCGAAAAAAGTTACGACTGTAGAGAACGTGCAACATGTTTTTTTTTTCACCTTCATCTTTGGGCGGTAAGCACTTTATACATGTTGTCCTTTTTTAAGAACATGGGGCAGTAATTATAAAAAACATATTTTTTGCCAAGGCCAAGCCTTACGAGGTAGAAATTAATAGCTATTATACAAGATATTGCAGCACTGATCTAAAATAATTCAAACTAAATATAATCTTTAAAAAAGACATTTCTTAATAACGATACACAGCGCGAGGAACTTAGGCCTACATTCGCTGTCAGCATGCTTCGATAAGTTATCTTTCTTGCACTTACGGTTACGCATAAGATTTTTTTGTCGTGTTCATTTGTATACTTTATTCACGTCTGGGAATTGTTTATAACCGCTAAATTTGTCTGGCGATTTGCAGGTATTATTAAAAATTACACAATAAATACGTGATTAAAATTTGAGATTGCCAAAAGTATATTTTTTGGGAATTATAAAAAAATATTTTTGGAGAGGTCTGGTAATACTTCATAACCGACAAAAACGTCTGGGATTATTTTTTTGGAATTATATAAAAACTAAATTAAAAGATAAAAAAGAAATCAAGTTGCTAAGAAAACATTTTTTTTGGATTTTTTTTTGGCAAATGTTATATGCTGCGCAGTAGCGAAATAACCGCAAACGCTCTGCCAGACTCGCGGGACTGGATTCGCCAATTAATGAAATTATATTTTTTCACAATTTCAACTTGCCAAAAGGACCACACATTCCTGTCCACTCTGTCATAAGCCTTTTCCAAGTCCATGAACGCACAAAAAACTCTGGTTATTGGCCAAAAACTTCTCCGCAATCATGCGCATGGAAAAGATTTGATCCATACACCCCATCCCCTTTCTAAATCCAGCTTGCACATCCCAAATTTTTCCATCAGTTTCTTCCATAACTCTTTCAATTAACACCTTAGCATACAGTTTACCCACAATGCTAAGCAAGCTGATACCACGGTATGATATATTGGGACTATAACGGCTTTGCACCAGTCTTCCGGTACCAGCTTCAGTTCCCAACATAAATTAAACAAGCACAGCAGGCCTGCAACCACACCCTCTCCAGCCCTTAGCATTTCGAGTGATATTCTATCATATCCGGCTGCCTTACCTGCTTTCATGCTTTTCATTGCTTTCATTATTTCATCTACACTTATCTCCCTACCTCTCTCCACTTCTTCCGGAATTTCTATTTCACTTACTTCAGACGACTCTTCACTCTTAAACGCGCTTTCAAAGTATTCCTTCTATCTCTTTAAATTCGAAAATTCAGCGTGCAGCCTGAATAACTTTGAGTTTCGTTATATAATCGGATTCTTACCAAAATGTGACTTTAGAGGGATATTATCTTTTGCAACATATAAATGAAACCTAATTAACATACACATAATTGTGGAAGTTGTAATTGAGTTCACTGATGGAATAACAGTTCGTTTTAGTTGGGTTCAAAATCCTCGATTTTTTTAATATTCTACTAAGCCAGCGCTTATCTGCGATCCCACCTGATGGTAAGTGGTGTTGTAGCTTAAGATGATGGTGAATTTGCAATGTTTGCCACAAATATGTTTTAACATGTAAATCTTTTCAATTGATGCATGTGCCAGCTACTTCACCCATTGCCTGCATCTGAAAAAATAATATAAATAATATCACATTTTTATTGAACTAATAGAAAGTTAGCAGTCACAATAATTGGTAATGTAATTTATAAGTATAGTTCGTTTCGAGCTATCAGATTTAGGAAATAATGTGTTTGTATTTGTGCACAAAATCGTACACTGTAAAAACCTGTCCTACGTATATGGCTACGCGTTAAATATCATATTACAATTAAAGTTGAAATCACCACATACCTTTCATCATCTGAAGGAAATATTGCTACGAATAACCTTTTCTTGTTATTATTTTTTCCGCTTCTTACACCATTTAATTGGCAAGTTTTATAATGCATAATTATTTTTTTAGCAATTATATAAATGAACAACGGGTCCTATAGCAAAATTAAAAGCAATCTTAATAAATCAAAAATAAAAATGTAACTGTTTGATTTGACATTTGAACCTATATGATTTGATAATGTCGTTAATAGACATATTACGGAAAGCAGAAAGAAGAGATAACCGTTATTAGAATTTTACCCGTTTCGTACATATAAATTTTATTATGTAAGTTGCACCGGCCTGACTAAAACTAACCTAACTATAACTAGAAACACTTACGCGTTACAGGTTAATAATTAGTAAATAGCAATGCGATGGGTGGTCGAGTAACTAAAGCGAGTTAACTCGAGATAAGTCACAGAATAAATAATAGTACAAGAAAAGAAAGATCACTCTGACAGCAAACTTGCAAGTTTAAACCTAGTTGCAACGTTGCTAATATTCATAATAATTTGCACGCCTCGGAAGCGACCTTCGTGAAATTAGCCTACGTTGAAACAAAAATTAATACGGCGCGCGTATTAAATCAAAATGCACCTTACTTACAATGTGAGGAAGGTTAATATTATAACAACGTGAACGTCTTTGCAACTCAGGTACTTTACCTATTTATCATTTTTAACCGACTTAACAAGAAGGAGGAGGTACTGAATTCAACTGGGTTCTTTTTGGGTGTTACCTCAGAACTTTTTTCTAGGGGAATCGATTTTGATGATTCTATTTCTATCTGTAAGCTGGTGCTTATAATTTAACTCCACTGTAGGACTTTGTGAACACTAACGCACAGAATAAATAATAGTACACTAATATCACACTAGGCTGTATGTTCATTGATACATCTTTGCCTTTTTATAAAAAATTGGCGGGAAATTGACCGGCGGCGGTTTGCTGCTCCTGTATTATTGTTTAAATAATGGTTTGAAGTGGACTTTGACATGTAAAAGTGGTGCGATTTTGTGTATTAAGTGTCTACGCATGTGAACTATTAGTGGAAACAGTGAAACAAGTGCTCTGATGGTGATAGATTCTCAAGATAATCTGTTTGTTTGCATAGGCGCCTTTAGATACCATCACCAACTGTCAGCTGTCTGCTGGATCAAGTTGCCGTCAAAATCTCCCAAGAACTGCACAATGTGACGCATCAACATATTGTGAAGCAGTGAACTATGAAGGATAATTGAGGAGTGACGGAACAAAACATGATAATTCCGCTTTTTGTAAAAAAAAAAAAAGTTAGCAATGACATTCGACAGAATACCATAAATTACGTCACCTGTTAGTCTGGTGTGGTTCAAATCGCGCTTATTCCTGTAGTAAATAGCCTCTGAAGTTAAAATTTGGAGACTAAATCATGACATTACCATGTTTAAAAATATTAATAAACAAAATCGGAACAAAACATGATACATTTCATACATTTCTGGTATACAGATTGAAAGTTGGTACAAAATAAGATATTTCCTTGTAAAAATAACTTATCGACTTTTGAACGCTTTATTTGCTTAAATCTTAGGGTGCTGAAGCCGTATAAAAGTACATTATTTGTCAATGGTTACGCTTATGGTTTACATATTATGTTACACGACTACAGATTTAAGTCAATGTCAAAATGTTGACATGAGATTTCCACACAGTTTGGTACAAATCATGATATTTTCGTCAGATCTGATCAGAACATGATATTTCCATTTTTTACATAAGAATAGATAAACAATTTGAAATAAAAAATAAATAAATAAAAAACATACTTAATGAGCTTTTACAGTTATTTATTCATTAGAACCCATATTTTTTTAAATTGCATAAAGGCAAAGTAGTTGCCGGTTTTTGACCTTTTGTGAAAAATTAGACATGATGGAATTATCATGTTTTGTTCTGTCACTCCTCAATTACAAAAGACAAGGCTGTATGGCAAAGTTCCTTTGCCTGCTCTTTCGAGCGAATAATAAACACAACAACAACAAATTCATTCATAAACATTAAACACAAACAAAATCAAAGTTATCAAACATTTTGCTTTGTTTTGAATCCATAATATAAATATTTATGTTTTTAGATTAAACGGTTAAAATTATTTTTAACACTGTTTATTGGCATTCAAATATGTTACGTACTAAAATCTACATTTTCTTAAGTGCCCTGGGCGCAATATTCGGAGTATCTGCATTTATATGCTTCTCTATAGTTTACGCTAATATAGAAGCTGGGATGTGGGCATTATTATCGGGTAAGTACATTAAAGCAATGCATTAATGTACATTACATCAACATCAATGGCGAGTACATCACTCATCTTCGATTTGCCGACGATATAGTCCTTATGGCAGAATCGCTGGAGGGCCTAAGCACTATGCTCAATGACCTCAATAGTGTTTCCCAACGGATAGGTCTTAAGATGAACATGGACAAAACAAAGATCATGTTTAATGTCCATGTCACATCTATGCCGATAGTTGTTGGGAGCACTAAGCTCGAAGTTGTTGACGAGTATGTTTACCTGGGACAAATAGTCCGACTAGGTAAGTCCAACTTCGACCGAGAGGCCAATCGACGGATTCAACTCGGCTGGGCAGCATTCGGGAAGCTACGACACATCTTCTCGTCAGACATACCTCAAAACCTTAAAACGAAATTGTACAACCAGTGCGTGTTGCCAGTGATGACTTACGGAACTGAGACGTGGTCCTTCACTGCTGGCCGTATGAGGAAGCTCAAGGTCGCTCAGCGAGCTATGGAGAGGGCTATGCTCGGAGTTTCTCTGCGTGATAAACTTAGGAATGAGGATATCCGCAGTAGAACCAGAATAACCGACATAGCCCAACGGATTAGTAAGCTGAAGTGGCAGTGGGCCGGCCATATAGCTCGAAGAACCGACAACCGATGGGGAAGAAAGGTTCTCGAGTGGCAGCCTCGTACCGGTAGGCGAAGTGTAGGGCGTCCCCCCACGAGATGGAGTGACGACCTGGTAAGACATGCAGGAAGTCGATGGATGCAGGTGGCTCAGGACCGTGCTTTGTGGCATTCTTTGGGGGAGGCCTATGTTCAGCAGTGGACTTGTGAAGGGCTGTAATGATGATAATGATGATGACATTAAAGCAACTTAATGCAGCAAGGAAAATTATTAAAAATTTTCTTTCTATTGTTCTAAATTTACATATCAATTTAATTTGTTCTTGATGTGTGTTTACAGAGTTTTTGACATGATTTCAGGTATACATGCCAGTCTAGCTTTGGTATTACACTGTCATTACTTAAAAGAATCACTGCATGTCAATTTCTCAAGAAAGGCCTTGCAATATATTGGTGACTTTGGAATTGTCGGTTTTGTGTCTGGATTAGCCCTCACTCTGTTTTATACTTTTTTGGAAATCTACTATAAAGCAGGTATGTAAATAAGAAATATTTCAATTGGTTATGTTGTATATTTTCATTACACTTATAATTACTTTTATGAGGGCTCAGCTTCAGGGTGTACGTTGCGTTAAGTGGAATCCTGTGCCATAACCCCAATACTAATAAGTCTCACTGTTGTCAGAATTTATTTTCTATATATGTTATAAATAATTCAGTTAAAAAGACTGATAGTGATATTGAAAAAGAAATAATATTTTATACAGAGGTGTTTTCTCAGCTAGTGATAAATAAAAAATAACTTTCAACAAGAATAATTGCATAAAAATATTCTGTTCCATTTTATTCTATTCTATTCTTCTTCTTTTTTGAAATACTAGAATTATACTTCTTCTTTTTTGAAATAGGCTGTTAGGGATGATAATAAATCGTTTTTTCAGTTGAACCTTCTACTTCTCTTAATAGTAATAGATAGTTGTAAGAACTTTTTATTAAAATTTTTTACATAGAAACCTCAGCTTCAGCTCATAATCAATGTAAGTATACAATTGTACTAGCAATATGCACCGGCTTCGCACGGGTCATTTCTGGATCTCGACAACAGAGCCACCTGCCCGGTCCAATTGTGAATCTAAACTATTCTCTAGTCAACTTATCACACACACTAAATATTAGGAAAGTTTAGGAAAGTTTTCAGTCACATACCCCTACACTCAGGCAAAATTTTTTTTTTTTTTTTTTTTATAGGAGAGGGGGCAAACGAGCATGCGGCTCACCTGATGGTAAGTGACTACCGCCGCCCACGAACAACCGCAACACCAGGGGAATTGCAGATGCGTTGCCGGCCTTTTAAAAGGGAGTAGGCTCTTTTCTTGAAGGTCCCTAAGTCGTATCGGTCCGGAAAAATCGCTGATGGTAATCGATTCCACAAAGAAGTCGTGCGAGGAAGAAAACATCTTCTAAATCGCACAGTGGTGGACCGCCAATCATCCAGATGGTGTGGATGGTATCGGGAGTTCTGCCGCGATGTGCGTTCATGAAATTTGGCGGCTGGGATTAATCCGAACAATTGCTCAGAGCACTCCCCATGGTAGATGCGAAAGAAAATGCAAAGAGATGCAACATCTCTTCGCAGTGCCAATGAATCGAGCCGATCGGAAAGGGCTCGGTCGTCGACGATTCGAGCCGCTCTGCGCTGGATGCGGTCAAGTGGAAGGAGCTGGCACTGGGGAGCCCCTGCCCAGAGATGGGAACAGTATTCCATGTGAGGCCGAACCTGCGCCTTGTAAAGTTGCAGGCGGTGTGCCGGCATGAAATACTGTCCCGCTCTGCTGAGCACGCCAAGCTTTTTAGAGGCCAATTTGGCCTTCTCTTCCAAGTGACCACGAAACTGCACGTCACTCGATATGTCGACTCCGAGGATACCGATACTGGCTGAGGCAAGAAGGGGAGTGCCTTGAAACTGAGGAGATACGACAAAGGGGTTCTTTTTAGCGGTAAACGCGCAAACTTGTGTCTTCTGAGGATTAAACTGGACTAGATTTAGTCGCCCCCAATCCGAGACTTTGTCCAGCAAAGACTCGACTTCAGACACAAGTTTGTTCCTGAAAATAATTTCTCTCCTATCATATGCATGTATTATACATATAAACCTTCTTCTTTCTTTTTTTATGGCGGTTTTTGATTATTCGCCAATGTCAGTGTGGAAGTGTTTATTGAGTACAAGCTCAGTAGTTACAAATACTATGCCCATGTACTAAAGAAGATTGTGATAATACAAGTATCTTGTTTTATTTAAACAATTAAATTTTCCTTTTTATCTTGTAATACTAGTGGTTGTACTGTTGAATTACCTAGAACAAATGACAAACACAGTTGCTATAACTACATTAGTATATTAGTATTGACAAACATTAAACTTTTATACTATTAGTGTTAATAAAATCACACAGAATATATACATAAGGAGTATTTGTGTAGGTTAAAAGTGAATCAAAATTTATAGGATGAGGGATGTCAGGAGGGAGATGATCATAGAGTGAACAAGATAATTTAGGACAGTTAAAAAAAAAATGGTCAGAGGTTCCCTCATCTAACCCACATTCGCAGAGGGAAAAAAAAAATTATTACTTAACTTCTTCTTTGCAAGTAACACTATGTCTGAAGAGTGGAGTACATGGCAAACCATTTCGACTTGCATTTTTAGCCATCAGATCAGCTGTTTCATTGCCCTTGATGCCACTATGACCTGGAATCCAAGCTAAGGAAACCTGAATGCCCTTGAGATGACATCTATACAATGTGTGTTTAATTTTGAGGATCAAGGGTATCTTATATTTACTTTGGAACTGGTTTGACAAAATTGCTAACAAACAACTTTTGGAGTCGGTAAGAATAACTGACTTATTTAAGTTGTGTGCTTCTATATAAATCAAAGCTTCATAAATTGCCGTGGCCTCGCCAGTAAAAGTGGAAGAAATAGAAGGGCATTTAAAATTGAGGATTATTTTGTATCTGGGAATCCAAACTGCTGCTCCAGTGCAACTTTCACCTGACTTTTTGGAGGCATCAGTGTATATAATAAGCCAGCCTTTCCATAAATTATCTATGACTCTACTTATTTTACTATTTGCTATAGGGCAATCTTTCTCAATACCAAGGTCGAGGTGGATATTTGGTTGGAAAATAATTGCATCATATGGGTTATCAAAGATGGGACAGGACTTGCATTGTGATACTGGGTGTGGTAGATGGAGTAATGTTACCAAACTGTTGGATAAGCAGGGAGGTTCTTTATGAGTCCAGTAATGCTCTGATGAAATATGTTCCAAAAGAAGGTGTAATTTAGAAATGAGAGGATGGGAAGAGAGTTGATAGATTTAAAAAAATAATTGGTCCGAAAGATATTGTCTTCTTAGGTAAAGAGGGGGTACACATTAGACTTGGAGAGCATTTATTGGGGAAGATTTCATTGCCCCAATGATTATACGAAGGCTTTTCGTCTGAATCCTGTCTAGGATATTTAGGGAAGACTTATTACATGGTTCCAAGACAAAGCACGCATAATCCAAATGACTACGAATAAGGGCGTTGTACAATATTTTTTGAGAGAATGGGTAGGAGCCCCATCAAACTCCCGATAAAGCGCGAAGAATATTTATATTTTTTTCACATTTTTTGAGACATAGTTGATATGATGAGAAAAGGTTAGTTTGGAGTCAAGAATAACTCCCAAAAATTTTACATTCTCCCTAATAGGGATAGGTACATTATTACAGAGAATGTCGATTTCAGGGAGTTGCCTATGGCGAGAGAAGATGACAACACTGCTTTTGGGAACAGACAAGGACAAACCATGATCAGTTAACCAATCTTGTAAATAGGACATTGATAAATTCAATTGGGAACAAGCTGTAGCAAGGTTATTCAAGGAAATATATATAGCTATATCGTCTTCATATTGGAGAATGTTACAGAATGAGTCAACAGAAAGTTCTAGATCATAAGTATAGATAGAATAGAGCAAAGGACTAAGTACTGAGCCTTGTGGGAGACCCTTCCATACAATTCTTGGCGGGAGTAGGGAATTTTGACTATCAATATAAATGGATCTAGAAGAGAGAAAGTTAGAGACAAAATTTACTATCCTCACTGGAATACTCAGATTAAGCATTTTTTGTCTGAGCACAGGAAGAAGTACATTGTCATATGCAGACGAGATATCTAGAAAGACTCCAACAAGGTATTCATGTTTAGAGTAAGCTATACGAATATCAGTAACTAGAGTACTAAGGCTATCCATGGTGCTTAAGCCCTTTCGGAATCCAAATTGGCTTTTTGCTAGAAGGTTTTTGCTTTCAAGAAACCATTCTAAACGATTTTTTATTAGATGTTCAAGACTTTTGGCCATGGTACAAGAAAGAGCAAATATAATTTAAAATAGAAAGAAGATGGGCTTTAGTAGATTCACTGCTATTAGTAAAAAAAGAATAAGGAATTCCATCGATTCCTGGTGAAGAGTCTTTAAGGACACTAAGAACAGCATATAACTCCTCCTCAAGGGGAGTCAAAACTGTGTTGATAGTGCAAGGACTGTGATTGAAATGCTATATTTTCATTGTAAGATGGTACTGAAGGAGGAGTAAGATTACTAGCAAAATTTTCTAGCCAATAAGACTGATCATTAGAAATTGTGTTTTCAGAGGCCAAAACTGAACATCGGAATTTTTTAATATTTTTCCAGACTAATGATGGATGAGTCCTAGGCGACAGTGACTCACAGAATTTAAGCCATCCAGCCTTTTTCTTCCCAGATAATAATTTTAATGTTTCAGCATCAGTTTTTTTATAAAAAATATAGTTGTCAAAATTCATAGAGAGGGAGTGCCCTTTTCAGCATCACATCACTCACGCAATCGGATCATTTTATGACTGTTTTTTGTTATTTACTTTTATCTTTGATGTTTTTATGTTTTATTTTATTTTCTGTATCAAAACTGTATGAGTGTATGTTGCTGAATAAATGCATGTCTATGTCTATGTCTATGTCTATCTTACTTCAGCTTCCTTTCTCTTCTTACATGCTACAGAACAATCTTGATCCCACCAAGGTGGTGAAGGAGCATTATTTTTATAAGGTTTTTTGATGGGAATTGTCTTATTGGCAGCAGATAAAATAGCATTTTTAAAAGTAGAATACACCTGAAAAACATTATCTTTCTGAACAGGAGGAAGGGCTGATAGTTCTTCCTCTAGAACTGTGGAATATAGTTGCCAGTTTGCTTTGGATGTGTTATATTTTAACCTAGGATTAAATGGAACATTGACTGTATAGGAGCTAGGGGGATTCATAACAATAGGGAATTGATCACTGCCATGAGAAAAGGGTAATATTCTCCAAGAAAGAAGGGACGACAGGGCAGGAGAACAGAATGACAGATCTACTGCACTTTTAGGATTTTGGAGGGGGGATACTCTACGTGTAGGTGAACCATCGTTAAGGAGGCAGAGATCTAAATCATCAATGATGTCTA